CCCCAAAACCCCAAAACCCCAAAACCCCTAAATCAAATGTAAGTATTCTTAAGAATATAGTACTAATCTAAAAAGAGATAAATGTTCAGATGCTTATTTATAAATAAAACTTATTTGGAATAATTATTCCAAATTTAATAATATATTAAATATCAGGTAATTAAAAGTATGTCTTCCTATGAGATGATCAAAGAAATTCTCAAGATAGCTTTCCCAGCAATGCTTGCCTCATTGTCTTTTGGAATAGTTGATTCAATGAATCTAATATTTTTAGGATTTCTCAATGATCCTACTCTAATAGCAGGAGTAGGTATAGGAACTGTTTACATCAACGTTTTTGGACTTACAACCTTGTGTGGATCCAATACTATTCTTACTACATTAGTCTCATAAAGTTATGGTCAATAAAATTTAAGACTATGTGGCACCTATTTAAACAGAGGTAGAATTGTAACTACCATCGCATTCATTCCTGTGACTATTATGATGTTGAATGCGAAATACTTTTTTTAATTAACTGGAGTTTAAAAGGAAACTTCTGAGTAAGCACAGCTATATATATGGTACATGTTGCCAGGAATATATTTAAGCGTTTAATTTGATCTACTTAGAGTATGCGTAAACTCTTTTGGAAGGACTTATATTTCAATGTATGTCCAGATGTTCGCTTGCATTCTTCATTACTTCTGGAGCTACTTGTTTATTGACTATTTTAAATTGAACTTAAAGGGCACAGCTTATTCAAATACTTTGACTTAATTGACTAGCATCATTTTAATTGTCATTTTCATCAGCTTTGAAAAAGACATCAAGGATGCATTCTTCATGCCTGATAGATAATCATTTGTTGGTTTATGGAGTTATACTAAAAAGGCTTTGCCAGCGATGTTTCTTTGGGGAATTGAAGCATGGACTTTCTCTGCTTAAACTATAATGGTAAGCACTGTGTCAAACAATATGGCAGCAGCTCAATCTATTCTCCATAGTATCTTAATGCTAGGATTCATGATAACAGTAGGCAATAGCACTGCTGCATCAGCTCTTACTGGGAAATTTATTGGCTCTAATGAGATCTCTAAAGCTAAGAAATACCTAAGAGTTTTGAATTCTTTTGGATTCTCAGTAGCATTTTTGCAATGGTTTATAGTTTTCTTTTTTGGGAAGAATATCAGCCATATCTTTACAAACAATTAAGATGTTTTGAAATTAATTGAAAATACTACAGATCTGTTATCATTTGCTATTTTCTTTGATTGCACTATGAGTAGCCTAACTGGTGTAATTAGAGGTCTTGGTATTTTGAAAAGGGCCTTAGTTGGAATTATACTAGTTTTTTATTTGTTAGGCATTCCACTCTAGTATTATTTGCTTTTTAAAAGATAGATGGGTCTTACTGCCATATGGACAGGAATGTTAGTCTCGTAGTCAATTATCACTTTCTATTATCTATACTTAATACTTATCCACACTGATTGGAATAGGGCGGCAGAAAAATCAGCAAGTAGAGCTTTGAAAGAAAAAGTTGATACAGAAACAAGAGATTAAATAACTACAGATAAAACAAAACAACTAAGAAATAAATTGATTGCCTGATAAGCCTAAATCTTACTTTTACTCTATTACTACACGAATTCTACTTTTGAATAATTGAAAACTGATAATTTGCAATTTTTCTTGATATAATGCTAGCTAGGGGTTTTGGGGTTTTGGGGTTTTGGGGTTTTGGGGTTTTGGGGTTTTGGGG